CATCAACATCAACACCATCACCTTGTCGTCACCATCACCATCGTCCTCATCGGAGTCAGCATCGGCACGATTACCGTCGCCAGTCGAATTTCGACACATCCCTCATACGTTTCGTGGCCCCACAGGAACTGAGGCCCGCATGCCAGGATTATGAGGCGCCACCGCACCCACCTCGGCACACGCCTCACGCGGTTCGTGGCCGCATTGCCAGCTCCACCGAAGGCCCCAATGGCAGGATCAACATGAATTCTAGCCTTTCATTTCGGCACTTCCCTCACACGCCCCGGGGCTACATAGGGATCACCAACTAGGCCCAGCTGCCAGGGTTCGCATGGCGGCACCGCCTTTGACTTCGGCACGCCCCTCACACGTTCCGTGTCCCCACAGGGAGCGCCACCGAAGGCCCCAGTGGCAGGGTTCACAGGGGTTGCAGCGTTTCATTTTGGCACATCCCTTACACGTGCCGTGCCCCCACGGGGATCCCCAACTACGGCCCAATTGCCAGGATTCATATGGCGACACCGCGCCCATTTCTGCACCCCTCACACGTTTCGTGGCACCATAGGTAGCTCCATCGAATGCCCCAGTGCCAGGATTCATGCGCGTTCGTCACACCCCTCACACGTTTTGTGGCCCCATGGGGAGCCCCAGCGGATGCCCACTTGCCAGGGCTCGCATGAGTTTCCGCTTCTCATGTCGGCACACCCCTCACAGTGGCCCCATAGGGGTCTCCAACTAAGGTCCACCTGCAGGAATTCGCATGAGTTCCCGCCTTGCATGTCGGCACGCCTCTCACACGCTTCATGGCCCTATCACCGAAGGCACATTGGCAGGGTTTGCTTGAGTTCCCGCCTCTGATGTAGGAACCCCTCTCACACTTTTCATGGCTCGAAAGTGAGCTTCAAGTAAGACCCACATGCCAGGGTTCGCATGAGCTCCCGCCTTTCTTTTGGGCACACCCCTCACGCGTCTCGTGGTTCTGTAGGGTGCTCCACCTAAGGTCTACATGCCAGGGCTCGCATGAGTTCCCGCTTCTCATTTCGGCACACCCCTCAGACGTTTCGTGGCCCAATCGGCGGGAGCTTCAACTGCGGCCCAAATGTCAGGATTCGCATGAGTTCCCACCTCTCATGTAGGGACGCCCCATTGCAGGTTTCGTGGTCCCATAGGGAGATCCAACTAAGGCCCGCATGCCTCGCATGCGTCTGCCTCGCAATGGCTCGCATGCGTCAGCCCACTAAGGGTTCGCATGAGTCTGCCTCGCATTTCGGCGCGCCCCTCACGCGCTTCGTGGCCCCATGAGGAGCTCCAGGGTTTGCATGAGTTCCCGCCTATCATTTCGTCACACCCCTCACATGTCTTGTGGCTCCATAGGGAGCTCAAGCTAGGGCCCAAAGGCTAGGGCTCGCATATGTCCCGCCTCTCATTTCGGCACCCCCCTCACACGTCCCGTGGCCCCATAGGGAGCTCCATCGAAGGCCCCAGTGGCAGGGTTCGGATGAGTTCCCGCCTCGCATTTAGGCACACCCCTTACGCGTTTCGCGGCCCCATAGGCCCCAGTGGCAGGGCTCTTAGGACTTCCCGTTTTTTTGGACGCTCCGCTCACACCTTTCGTGGCCTCGTTGTGAGCTCCACGTGCGGCACACGGGTCGGGGTTCCCGTGAACTCCTGCGAATCATTTCTGCACACCGCTCACGCGTTCCGCGGCCCCACAGGGAGCTCCGGCTGAGGCCCGAATGCCAGGGTTTGCATGGTGACACCGCCTTTGATTTCGGCGCATCCCTCACGTTCCGTGCCCCCACCCACAGTGAGCTCCACCGAAGGCCCCAGTGGCAGGGTTCGCATGGCGGCACCGCCTCTGACTTCGGCACACCCCTCATACGTTCCGTGGCCCTGCAGGGGGATCCACCGAAGGCCCCAGTGGCAAGATTGGCATGGCCGCGCCGCCCCATTTCTGCACACCACTCGCACGTTTCGTGGCCCCACAGGGAGCTCCATCGAAGACCACAGTGGCAGGGTTCGCATGGCGGCGCCGCCCAATTTCGGCGCACCCTTCAGGCCACAGGGAGCGCCACCAACGGCGGCAGCGACAGCTCCCGCATAGCAGCACCTTCCCATTTCGGCTATCCTCTCGCACGCTTCTTGGCCCCACAGGGAGTTCCCTTCTTTCGTCCCACCCGCCCTGCGGTACCCACACCTGCATACGGTTGGGTCCGTCGCCCTGCTGTTTTTTTGGTTGCCGTTCTCTCTCTCTCTCTCTCTCCCTCGCTGTCGCCGCCCGCACCTCCTTCCTCTCTCCCCTTCCTCCCTCCCCCCCTCCCTCCGCCACTCTGCTCCTCTCTTCCCCTCCTCTCTCCACTGGCGCCTCCCCGCCGCTCGTGCTCCCCTTGTGGCCACCGTGGTGGAGGGAGGCCCCCCCCTCTCGCCGCCGCCGCAGCCAGACCCCGGCTCTGCGGGGGAGTCGGTCGGCCGCGGCCGTGTCCCGGCGGGCCCAGGCGGCCGAGTCGGAGCTGTTCTTGTGGCCTGCAGCAGTGAGCAATGGAGACCGGGGCGATGCGAGGATGCCGACGTCCGAGGCGGGACTTTCTACATGACCACCGCCTGGAGCGTCAATTTTTGGGGGACCTCGGCAGGCGGTGGATATGGACATATTCGGGCCCCCAGGGGCCAATCTCTCTCTCTCTCTCTCTATATATATATGCATGCATGCATGCATGCATGCATGTATATATGTATATATATATATATGTATGTATGCATGTATGTATGTATGTATGTATGCATGCATGCATGCATGCATGTATATATGTATGTATGTATGTATGTATGTATGTATGTATGTATGTATGTATGTATGTATGTATGTATGTGTGCATGTATGCATGTATGTATGTATGTATGTGTGCATGTATGTATGTATGTATGCATGTATGTATGTATGTATGTATGTATGTATGTAGGTATGCATGCATGCATGCATGCATGTATGTATGTATGTATGTATGTATGTTTATGTTTATGTATATGTATGTATATTTGTGTGTGTGTATGTATGTATGTATGTATGTATGTATGTATGCATGTATGTATGTATGTATGTATGTATGTATGTATGTGTGTATGCATGTATGTATGTATGTATGTATGTATGTATGTATGTACATATGTACGTATGCACGTATGTATGTATGTATGCATGTATGCATGTATGCATGTATGTATGCATGTATGCATGTATGTATGTATGTACGTATGTATGCATGCATGCATGCATGCATGCATGTATGTATGTATGCATGTATGTGTGTATATATGTATGTGTGTATGTGTTGTATGTATATGTGTGCAAGGGTGCATGTGTGTATGTGTGTATGTGTGTTTGTGTGTATGTCTGCATGCATGCATGCATGCATGCATGCATCATGATGCATGCGTGCATGCATGCATGCATCGTATGTATGCATGTATTGTATGTATGTATGTATGTATGTATGTATGTATGTATGTATACAGGTATGTATGCATGTATGTATGTATGTATGTATGTATGTATGTATGTATGTATATGTATATATATATATATATATATCCATATGCACTGCACCGCCCGCTGGGGTACCAGGACGTCGGTTTCCAGGCGGTGGATATGGATAACTCCTCGCCTCGCACGACGGGCGCTGTTTTGCCTCGCTCTGGGCGCCCTGGGGTCCTGACGGATGAGCCCGCATCGAGAGATCCCGCAGAGGGGTGGGCTCGGGAGCCACGGTCGCGTGTTTGTCCATGGATTGTCACGATGGCGTCGTTGCTTGGCCCTCCCAGTGGCCTCGGAGGGGCCTGTTGGGAGATTCTTGGGGTCCTCTGTGGGGCCTCTTTGTGGCCTCTAGCTGGGCTCTTGGATGCATGTGGCCCATGAGGTATCTCGCCATTTATGACGGGTTTGTGGCCAGCTAGGTACGTCTTGCAATTTGGGGCCGTCTTGGAGCAGTCTTGGTGCGGTCCTGGGTTGTCTTGGGGCAGTCTTGGTTCCCTCAGGGGTGCCTCGGTGACCGATCAGAGGCCGTCTGAGGCTGGCCCAAAGGCGTCTTGAGGTCGTCAGCACTAGGGGCTAGGAGGCCTCCCGGGGCTAGGAGGCCACTGGGGCTCAGGTGTGGCCCCCTTGGGGGTCCCTTAGCGCCATCTTCGAGGCCGTCGATCAGAGAAGGGGGATAACTAACCACGCCCCCCCATCTAAGGCTGAACAAATGCATATTGGGGCTCTCTCGTGGCCCGCTTGGGGCTCCCTGGCGGGGTCTTGGATCCTCCTTTTTTGGGGCTCTTTAGGGGGTCTTGGGGCCATCTCGGGGCGATTTTTGGGGGCTTCATGGGTCTACCGTGGAAGGGATGGCATTCAAGTCGGGTCCACCCGGGAGGACGACAAATGCGTTCCTGGGGCGATTGGGGTCCTCCTGGTGGCCTCGTGGGCCGTCTTGGGGCCCTCTTGTAGTCCTCTTGGAGCTGCCTTGGGCCACTGGGGCCATTTTAAGGCCTCAGAGGCCCATGGGAGGCGATATTTCCTAAACAGGTGTTTTCTTCAGGTTCTGGACGGATGTTTGCCTCTCGGAGGCGTCCTTGGACTGCTCCGAGGGTACTTGGAGCCGTCATGGAGCCGTCTTGGGTACGCATGTTGGAGGCTAGCTTGAGTCATCGTGAAGCATCTTGATCAATATTGGAGGCCATCTTGGGCTATGCGAGGCCACCTTTGGCAGATCTCGGGTTCCAAAGGACCCTCTGCCACATCGGCTTCCCCCGTTAAGGTCCATGGGAGGGGGTAGGGTGATGGGTGGGGAAGAAAGGGCCCTTGAGGAAGGAAGAAACTTACTCGTTATGCCACCTCCGCCCACAGACAGTGGGATTCTTGTGGTGGTCTATTCGAGCTGTTGTCGTCGCCTCCTCCTCCTCCTCCTCCGCCGCTCTCCGCTTCCCGCTCCTCTGCCCTCTCCTCCCTTTCGCCTCCGAGCCAGGCAGCATCCAGATGAAGTCCTACCTGATGGGGAACCCCGAGCTGAAGCTGGCATTGAACGAGGACCCTGCCGACAGATGCGCAGCCTCCGTCCGGAGGCCTGGCCTTTCTTTGCCGTGCGGCTCCCCTTGCCTGCACGAACCGCCGCTGTGCTCCTTCTCCCCCTTGTTGCCGCTTGGGTTAAGTCGGGCATGTCCCTCTACAGGAGGAATGTTCAAACATAGTCAAAACATAGTATTGGGGCGATTTCTCGATTATTTTTAGAATTATCCCAGTGCGACCCTACCTAGGAGTTGGAACCCCTAGGAAAGCAGCATTAGTAGTAACAGTAACGCTAAGCTGAAGCTAAGCTAAAGCTAAGCTAAAGCTAAGCCACAGCTAAGCTAAAGCTAAGCTAAAGCTAAGCTAAACCTAAGCTAAAGCTAAGCTAAAGCTAAGCTAAATCTAAGCTAAAGCTAAGCTAAAGCTAAGCTAAAGCTAAGCTAAAGCAACAGCTAAGCTAAAGCTAAGCTACAGCTAAGCTAAAGCTAAGCTAAAGCTAAGCTAAAGCTAAGCTAAAGCTAAGCTAAAGCTAAGCTAAAGCTAAGCTAAAGCTAAGCTAAATCTAAGCTCAAGCTAAGCTAAAGCTAAGCTAAAGCTAAGCTCAAGCTAAGCTAAAGCTAAGCTAAAGCTAAACTCAAGCTAAGCTAAAGCTACTAAGCTAAAACTAAGCTAAAGCTAAGCTACAGCTAAGCTAAAGCTAAGCTAAAACTAAAACTAAAGCTAAAGCTAAAGCTAAAGCTAAATCTCCCAGGGGACTGGGGGGAACCGCTCCCAGGGGACTGGGGGAACCGCCCGGGGCGGTTTACACTGCCCGGCCCCTTTAAGCTAAGAGAGTAAGAACCCTTCTAGGCAGAGCCTAGGTAGGGAAAAAAACTATGTTTGAGTATTGGTTTGACTATTTTGATTTTTCCTTCAAAATCCGCCTGCAGGGGGACATGCCCGACCTGACGCTTGGGTGCTGAAAGCTTGCTGACAGCTTGCTGACAGCTTTCATCGGCCTCCGCCTGCTCGGCAGCCCATGGCCTTTCGCCGTCTGCTGACAGCTCTGCCTCTCAGAAGCAGGCCCTGTCGGCCTCCGCCCGCCGCCCCTGCAAGAGCCTGCCCGCGGAGCCAAGCCGCGCCAAAAGATTGATGCAGCGTGCCACGGCGCCCTCCCAGGATGCCCGCCCCTACGTGTAAGACGACGCGGAGGCGGAGGAGGAGGAGGAGGGCTCCGATCTACTCCTGCTTGGTTCGCCGGTGCGCCACGGGGGAAGTGCGAGGGGGCAGGACACGTCAGCAGGCGGCGGGGGCTTCTCGGAAGCCTTCTGGCCTTCCGAGGAGTCCTCTGTGGCTTCGGAGAGGGCTTTGAGATCTGCTGAGAGGCCCAGGGGCTTTCTGAGCCTCCCTTCTGAGCCTTCTGCGCAGGCACGCCGCCCCCTGCCTCCCCCCCCATGGATCCCTCTGAGGCGTCGGAGAAGGCTCAGAGGTCTGCGGAGAGGCCCGGCGGCTTCCTGAGCCTTCCGAGCAGGCACGCCCCCCCCTCTGCCTTCACCCCCTCGGCGCGCCGCCGCTCGGCCCAGCCCGCCCGCCCCAGGACATCAACATCAAGAACCAGAATCTCGGTGGGTACGGAGGGGGGTACGGTGCCGTGGTGCTCGACGACTGCAACTTCCACGAGTGCGTGGACCTCCAGGACCCCTCGGCGCGCGAGCGAGGGCGCACGAGCGCGAGTGCTGCGCCTCGTTTGCAGTGCAGCTCCTGGGAGGCTAACGTCTATCCATGGTCGAAAACCGGCCGACTCTGGCATAATCCTTTCATCCCGTTGAGCCCCGCGCAATCAGGGGCAATCCGACTTACCCCTGAGCTGAATCGGGGCTAATCGAGCTTAATGGCCCCTCGATCGGATTTACTAGCCGTTGATCGTTCGTAGGAAGACGTTTCAGGCATGCTTCCCCCTCCCCCCTCCCCCGCTTCCCTGCTCTCTCTCCGTCCTGGTCCTGATGGCCAGCGGGCGCTATCTAGGTGACCGCACCGTCAACAATGCCGGCACAGGCTCAGACCCCCCTGCTTGCTTTGGCCATCCATCACAGTTTGTTTACACTTCACACTGCCTTACAGTCAGACCGAGGTAAAAGATCGAGGTCGGTTCGGGGAGGGTACCCTGGTGTTTTCGTGTTTGTTGGATGTTCTTGTGCATCCTGGGGATGGTATCCTGGTATGTTCTGTTTGTTTTGGCCGATGGAGGGTCTCATGTTCTCGAAGGATGTTCTTCTGGCTTAGGCCCGACTGCAGACGAACTCGTCTGAGCAGGTGGTCCATCCCATTCCCCCTCCCTTCGTCCCTCGCCTCCCCTGGCCCCTCGTCCGGGTGGCCCTCCTCTCCCATCTCCTTGCCTTCACCGCCTCTGCCGAGGACTTCAGCGACCAACGCACGCTCGCATTCTACCCGCCGGACGGCGAGTTTGCGGTGAGCTTCCTCAACCTCCTCCTTCCCTATCTTCCTCTCTCCTCCTTCCTCCCCCTTCTCCTGCTTCTCCCACCTCTCTCCTCCTCTTTCTCCTCTCCTCCTCTCTTCCTCATCCTTCTGCTCCTCGTCTTTTCTACTCATCTCTCCTGCTCCTTCCTTTCCTCTCCAAGCAACCTCCTCCCTCCCTATTCCTCCCTCCTCTTCCTCATCCTTCGCACCCTCCCGTCCTCCCTTCCTCCTTCTCCTTCTCCTTCTCAACCCTCCCCTCTCTCCTCTCTTCTCCTTCCCTCCCTCCTCCTCCTCCTCCTCCTCCTCCTCGCTCCTCCTCTCCGCCGATATCCTATCCCTTCTTCCTCCCTTCTTCTCCTCTTGGAAGGTGTCGAAGGGGGGTGGCCCCGGGTGGCCTCAGGAAGAAGAGGTAGCGATCCCATGGAGGCGCAGCGTTTTTTTGCTTTAATTAGTACCCAGACTTGAGGGTGAATTGTGCGAGAGGGGATAGGGCCTGTCGTTTCGTCTTTTTTTTTTTTTGTTGTTACCCCATTTTTCAAGATATCGTGAGTGGAGCCTTGTTTTTTTTGTTTGTTGTTTTTATGGTTTGTTTCGTAGTGCAAAAGAATTCTGGCTCTCTGGTCCCTCCCCCGAGATCACGCTAAAGCCACGACCCGAAGGGCCTGAGAAATGAGTACACAGCGTCCTTTGCGAGCCACGTCCCCTCCGTGAATAGGAGGGGCGAGTCGGAATGGGTCAGGGTCGACCGTCGACTGTGAACGTGGGCGGACGACGCCCATCGGGTACGATCAGGCGGGCGCCCTCGATGCGCGGGGGAAGTGCAAGACAGTCGGATTGTAAAGCCCACGTCAGTGGTGCCCGGATCCTCTTCCTCTCCTCCGAATTCCTCCTCCTCCCTCATTATACCTTCTCCCCTTGCCTTACCGCACTCCCGACGCCTCCCCCTGGCTCACCCTCCTGCCCCACGCCTCTTCTTGGGTTCTCCTGCGTTCCACTCATTCGTCTGCAGCCTATCGCTCATATTTGCCATCCTACCCTATCAGTTCGCCTAACTTCCTCTTCTGCTTACTCCTACTCCCTCCTTCCTACCCCTTCCTGGCCTTCCCTGCCTCGCTCCTTCTCCCTCTCCCTCCTTCTCCTTCCATACCTTCCTCGATCAGTCCTGTACTTACTACATGCCCTGCTTCCGGCACCATGGCGTGGCTCACTCTGCTCCTCCTCCTCCTCCTTCCTCCCCCCCTCCTCCCTCCTCATCCTTCCTCCTTCCTAACTCCTCCTCCTCCTCCTCCTCCTCCTCCTCCTCCTCCTCCTCCTCCTCCCCCTCCTCCTCTTCCGATGGGGCCTCTGACGTAAGACCATTCTAGGTGCTGGTTGAGCATGCGGGCGTGCTCCACTGCGGCCTCGTGTGAGATTGCTTGGGGGGTGCCACTGTGGGCTGGTGTTGAGCCTGCGGGCGCGCCCCACTGGGGTCTCTGGGTGGGCCCTCCACTGGAGTGGCGTGGCGGCATGAGTTTGTGACGCACATACGGGCGGGCACGTGGATCGGGGCGGTCTTCTAAGAAGGCCATTTCGCCTGTCGGAGGGCGCGGGGCGCGTGGGATTTCCGACTTCTTCCAGAAGCCCGCAGAAGGCCAGACATTCTCAGAACATCGATCCTCGGTTATCGATCTTCCTTCCCCTCGAGGAGCAGGAGACAGGAGGATTAGATAGGGGGAGGAGGAGGATGAGGAGGAGGAGGAGGAGGAGGAGGAGGATGAGGAGGAGAAGGAGGAGGAGGATGAGGAGGAGCAGGAGGAGGAGGACGAGCAGGAGGACGAGGAGGGCGAGGAGGAAGGGGAGGATGAGGAGGAGGAGGAGGACAAGGAGGAGGACGAGGAGGAGGGGGAGGAGGAGGGGGAGGAGGAGGAGTGCTGGACCCGATTCGAAGTTCTGGGCGGAGCGCGCCACCCGTGGGCACGTCTGGGAATCGACCTCCAGGGGAGGAGGGACGGCAGGATGTCCTGTGGATGCCTCCGAGGCGCACGCGACGAGGCCAGGCGCGGGGCAACGTGGCACTGTGCACGGCCCCCCGATGCCCACCGGTCGTTGAAAGTGGGCATTTTTGGATTCCCATGTTCCAGTGTATTTTGAGCGCCTTCCTGCTTCAATGATCGAGCGGCTTCACCTTTTCGTTCTCCTGCGGGGGCGGGCGGAGACCCAATCTGCTTTCGGCGCCTTCCTACCTCATGTTTCTGCCTGCTTCTTCCGATCGATGGGTGCACATACCCACATGTTCAGCGCTTTTTCGGCGTGCTGAGCGCGCCTGCAGACTGCCTCTGCCGCGCTGCGGCGCAAAAGTGTCCAGCGCTTTTTTGATTTGGGGCTTCTGGAAGCCGTGCCGTTGTTGGACTGGTCTGGAAGCACTTTGTAGGCTACCTTGGGTGGTAAAAGCAAAACGCCCCTTCTCTCCCCCCTCCCCCCGGTCCTATTCCTTCATGGCAGATGAGGGGGAAAGGAGTGGGACTGGATAAGTGGGCGCAGTGGGGGTCGCAACCCACCCATGGTTCGCCTGAAGCGTACCCCAGCAAAGCTATTCAGAGCTCGCGTCCGTGCCGAGCTTGCGTTGCTGCTACTTACGGTGTTGCGAGGTTAATGATCAAGCCCCGTCTGTGCCGTGGAATGCAGTGCCGAGGGCGCAATTCGCAACCTTGGACATGTCCATTCCATGGGGCATCCGGAGATGATACAACAGGGCGTGTTCTGGGAAAGAGCAACATATTAACCCGCAACACTCGCAGTAGCGTAAACTGCGTGCCGTGTGCGTCATTTTTGGTATGGTGGGCGCGGTGCAGAACGTAAGTGAGTGACATGGGCCACACAGGGTGCATTACAACTGTTTGATGCGGAGGTGATGAACTATCGCATCACTGGGGACTTCCGTGTGCCCTTCAGGAGGGATTGCTCGACCGTTCTTTCTTGTGTCAAGGCTCATGGCAGGCACACGTTGGGCGTGTTGAGAAAGAGAGTCATGAGTGAGAGGGGTCGGCGAGGGCGGCCAGGATTCTGAGAAGTTGCATTGGACCTTTACCTGGCTTGCCTCACAGTCCTGCTCTAGCCTTTGTTTGCTTGCTTCAGGCTCTTGGCGCCAACTGTTGTTCTTATTTGACTTACTCGACCCCCGAACAGCAAACCAATACAAACACTGCCCCTTGAATACATCGGCGTCTTCAGCAGGATCGCTCGCTGATTTTGGGAAGGACTTGACCATTGGAAATTGGAAATTCTGGCATCGGTGCTGACTGTCGGTGCTAGTCTTGACCTTACCCAGTGGGTTCATATGCTACCTTTGCCTGAAGCGGCCGCCCGGTGTCGGTTCTGGCTGGCAGTGCAGGGCAGAGCGTCGAGGCGGGAGGTGGGCGCTGTCGCAGAGTGTCTGGCCGTGTTCTACAGTCGAGACGTTGAAATAAGGATAACTTTCGAATTCTAGACGCTTCGTGTGACCCCACCAGCCCATCCAGAAACGATGTCCAGAGGAGTTGCCTCAATCAGGGAAGTGGGCAGCACGCAGAGGAGCCTTTTTGAGCGTCTTTGGGGCCTCTTGGCGGACCCGGAGGCCTCTCGGAGGGTCTTGGGTGCCTCGGGGAGCTTTTGGGGCCTTTTGGGAGCCTCTTGGAGGCCTCTTGGGCGCCTCTTGGGGCCTCCTGGGGCCTCCTGGGCGCCTCTTGGGGCCCCCTTGAAGCGTTTTTGGGAGCCTTGGGAGCGCTCTTGGGGCCATCTTGGAGGACATCGATCAGACAAGAGGGGAGCTTTAATTCGCCTCCCCCCCAAGATGCCAAAATGGGGCCAAAACCTTGGTCAAACCAATGATTTCGGCTTCCTCGCCGAGGCCGTTTTGGGCGCTCCAACGCGTCGCGGACCCCCCGTCCAGGGCCAGAAGGGGGTTGGAAGAGGAAACGCCCTACACCTACGACCAGCGGGCTGGTGGGATTTTCGGCTCAGGAGGAGCTCTGCTTTTCGGGCCGTTGCTTAGACTGAGGTTGGGGAGCCTATTCATGGCCGAGGCTCGCCGTGGCCAGGAAAGCTCCTTAGTTCCTGATTCAATGCCCTCGTGGTTGCATGATGGCTGTGCGCTCCCTTTCTATGAGCTGTGTCCTTGAGATCCCCGCGCGTGAGCCGAGGATTTTTCCCTTCGTGGAGCAGCAGACGCCCCACAAGATAGAGATCACCATAAAGGTGCCGCCGTCCTCCCCATCCACACCTCCCGTCCGCCCTCTTCTCGTTCGAGGGGGGGAGGAGGAGGAGGAGGAGGAGGAGGAGGAGGAGGAGGAGGAGGAGGAGGAGGAGGAGGAGGAGGAGGAGGAGGAGGAGGAGGAGGAGGAGGAGGGGGAGGAGCCTCTCCTCCCTCCAGTATGGACCTCAAAAAGATATTAAGCTTGGTTTATACCGTTCTGGGATTATTGACTTGGGTTCATCGTGTCTCGCCCGGAACATTATGAACCTGGGTTGTAATGTTCTGGGAACATTGACTGGGGGTCATAATGTTTCCACTGGAACATTATAAACCCTGGTTTTTACTGTTCTGGGGGTATCGACCCCAAAAACATATTAACCTGGTTTCATAATGTTCCGGGAATATTGACTCGGGTTTACAATCTCCCGGGAATGATCAAGTCGGTTTGCGTGTTTCCGGAATACTAGTATTTATTATTTCCCCCCCAACCCCCGGGTTCTTCGCCAGGCTTTTCAGGTCGGCATATTGACCCTGATTCATTATCTCCAGGAGATAATGAGCCCGGAGTTATAATGCTCCCGGATTATTGACCTTGGGTTAATTATTCTGGAATGATCATGATTGAGCCTGGGGGGCGCCGTTTCGGGGTACGTTCTGGCCTGAAATAATTTTTGGTTCATAATGTTGGAATATTGATTTTAGGTTGATTATTCCGAAAAGATAATGATTCGGCCGGGGGGTCTGGGCCCGATCCATTCACAGGATAATAAATCCATAGGAATTTTTTGCAGATAATGAACCTAGGTTTTCATTCCTAGATAATAAACCACGGTCGACGAGGATTTCACGCCCACACTCCCTTCCTCACACCTCCTCCCCTCTCCTTCCCCTCTCCTACCCTTCTCCCCCCCTTACCCTTCTCCAGTCTTTGGGGGAGGCAGGCGAGCAGGGATGGATGGAGGTAGGACGGGAGCGAAGGCTAGAGGGGCGGAGGGTGAAGGGGAGTGGCGCTGCTTCAGAGGCGGCGGATGCGTCATTCATCCAGCCGCCTGTCCGGCACTCTGGCACAGGGGGCCCTGACAGAGGGTAGACAAGCCAAGCCGCAGATATGATGTCAGCAGCAGGCGTAGCACTGTGCGTGACCGAGGGGCTGTACCCTTCCTGGTTCTGCGGTGACGGTTCCCTCTCGTAGTTGGATGTGCGCCGATCGTCTCTATGTCTCTCTCTCTCTCTCCCTCCCTCCCTGTCTCTCCTCTTCCCCTTTACTATCATATACTGTCGTCTCATATCGATCTGTCCCCCCTCTCTCTCTCTCCTCTCTCCGTTCTCCTCTGTCCGATCTCGTTTCTCTTCTCGTATCTTGTCTTCTCTTCTCGTCTACCTTATTATTTTATGTTTTTCTCATCTTACCTTTCCCGATCGCATGTTCTTGTCTCGTCTCTCATCACATTGTATCGCATGCCCTCGCCTAGTTTTTTCCCAACCATCTTGTGGTGTTGGGTCCTCGTTTTGAAGAGACGGCGCCCGCGTCCTCCTTCCATCCTTCTTTTCCCTCTGCCTCCCCTCCTCCCCCTCCTTGCCTCTGCCCTCCGCATGTCTCTCTGTCGGCACACCCCTCGCACTTCTCGCGGCCCCATAGGGAGCTCCAACTACGGTCCCAGTGGCGGAACTCGCATGCGGTCCCCGCGCCCATTCCGGCACACCCCTCACGAGGATCGTGGCACCACAGGGAGCTTCACCTAAGGTCCCAGTGGCGGAACTCGCATGCGGTCCCCGCGCCCATTCCGGCACACCCCTCACATGTTTCGTGTCCCCATAGGGAGTTCCAAAGGTCCCAGTAGCGGAACTCGCATGGCGCCCTCGGGCTACTTCGGCACATCCCTCAGAAGTTTCGTGGCCCCACAGTGAGCTCCACCTAAGGTCCCAGTGGCAGAACTCGCATGGCGGCCTCGGGCCATTTCGGCGCACTCCTCACGCAGATCGTGGCCCCATAGTGAGCTCCACCTAAGGTCCCAGTGGCGGAACTCGCATGGCGGCCTCGGGCCATTTCGGCACACCCCTCACACGTTCTGTGGCCCCATAGGGACGCCACCTAAGGTCCCAGTGGCGGAACTCGCATGGCGGCCTCGGGCCATTTCGGCACACCTCTCACGAGGATCGTGGCCCCACAGTGAGCTCCACCGAAGGCTCCAGTGGCAGGGTTCGCATGGCGGCCTCGGGCCATTTCGGCACACTCTTCACGAGGATCGTGGCCGAGCTCCACGAAAGGCGCCAGTGGCAGGGTTCGCATTGCGGCCTCGGGCCATTTCGGCACACCCCATCACGAGTATCGTGGCCCCATAGGGAGCTCCATCGAAGGCGCCAGTGGCAGCTTCCCTCATGACTCTCAGAGCCCTCTCGTGCTTCTGCTCCTCGGTCAGGGGGGCGCCGTCCTCGTCGTCGTCGGCGCCCGCGAAGACGGCCGCGAACGTGTCCCTGAGCATGTCGGGCTTCGGCGGGAAGCCGTGGCCGCATGGGGAGGGTGGGCGAAGATGGTATTCACAATTGCGGTATTCACAACTGCGTACGGTTGGGTCTTTCGCCAGGCTAATTATCTTACCTTTTCGTCTCTTACCTTCTCTTTTCGTCTCCTCCCTCCTCTTCTCTATCGATGGGCCATTTCGCTCCTTTCTCCTGTCTCCTTTTTCTGCTGTCTTATCTTATCCGGTTGCTTCTTGTCTTTTCTCTCACATTAATTTCCCATTTCTTTTTTTGTTAGTCTCTTCTCGTCTCTTCCCTTCTCTTCTCTTCTCTTACATTCTCTTCTCTTCTGCTGTCTTCTCTTCTGATATATTCTCTTTTGCTATAGTCTCTTCTCTTCCTTTCTGTTTCTTCTTCCTCTTTCTTCTCTTCTCTTCTCTTCTCTTCTCTTCTCTTCTCTTCTCTTCTCTTCTCTTCTCTTCTCTTCTCTTCTCTTCTCTTCTCTTCTCTTCTCTTCTCTTCTCTTCTCTTCTCTTCTCTTCTCTTCTCTTCTCTTCTCTTCTATTCTCTTCTCTTCTCTTCTCTTCTCTTCTCTTCTCTTCTCTTCTCTTCTCTTCTCTTCTCTTCTCGTCTCTTCTCTTCTCTCTCTCTTCTCTTCTCTTCTCTTCTCTTCTCTTCTCTTCTCTTCTCTTATCTTCTCTTCTCTTCTCTTCTCTTCTCTTCTCTTCTCTTCTCTTCTCTTCTCTTCTCTTCTCTTCTCTTCTCCTCTCTTCTCTTCTCTTCTCTTCTCTTCTCTTCTCTTCTCTTCTCTTCTCTTCTCTTCTCTTCTCTTCTCTTCTCTTCTCTTCTTGTCTCTTCTCTTCTCTTCTTGTCTCTTCTCTTCTCTTCTCTTCCCTTCTCTTCTATTAGATTTTCTTTTCTTCTCTTCTCGTCTCTTCTCTTCGCTCCCTTTCTTTTCACTTCTCCGCCCTTCTCTTCTCTTCTCTTCTCTTCTCTTCTCTCCTCTTCCGTTCTCGTCTCTTCTCTTCCCTTATCTTCTCGTCTCATCTCTTCTCTTCTCTTCTCGTCTCTCCTATTCTCTTCTCTTCTCTTCTCTTCTCTTCTCTTCTCTTCTCTTCTCTTACCTTATCTTCTTATTCTTTTCTCTTTTCTTCTCTTTTCTCTCTCTCTCTCTCGTTTTGATTTCTCGGTACATACACTGTCCTCGGTGCCACCATGCTGTCGACGGTGTCATGAATTTCAGCGTCGCCATTTTGAAGCACGCGTACGATCTGCACCATCGGCCGTACTGCACAAACAGCGAAGTACCCTTTCAGTGCCCTTGGTTCCAGGGGCCCTGTCTGCCGCGCGCTGCAAGAGACTCGCTCACGTAGGGGAGCCAGGCTTGCTTTATTGGGCTGCGTTACGGGGGGGTACTGTTTGCAGGTGCCTTGTCAGTGCGCAGCCGCGGCGATGCCACCTACGGCTCAATTCAACAGGGCTCCTTGTGGGCGCGTGGGCCACACTGACAGGGCTGTCTTGCGGAATTGCTGAAAGGCGAGCCGCGTCCGAAAGGAGCAAATCCAGGGCAGCCGCACGTGTATGTATATCTACATAGACACATCGCTACCAAGTGCCATGTGAATTCATTTATGGCCATTTATAGGGATGGGAGGAAGAGGTTTAGGCGGAGGAGTAAGAGGTAGAGAATGTGCGGGCAAGCGGAGGCGCGGCTAGAGACTGCGAGGGGAGGAGGAAGAGGAGAAGAGGAAAGAACCAGATCCTCGTCCCGGTTCGGGCAAAGGCAGACGCTGAGGGGGAGGAAGGGGGGGGAGGAGAGGAGGAGATGAGGAACGAACAGGATCCCCGTCTCGCGGGCCCCAAATCACACGAGTGTTTCCAACCTTTGAGGTGAGACAAAGTAGGCCGAGATGGGAGTACATCTGGGGAAGGGCATGCCGGGCCGAGATCAGAACCCATGCAGTAGTGTTGTGGCCTCGCATGCCCATGTCCCTGTGCAAGTCCTCATCTTCCTCTCCTTGCCACCGTCGTCGTCACCATTGTCTCATCAATCACTTCATGCTGAGCTGCTGCAAATGCGGCAGAGCAGTCTGGCGGCGATGGTGACCATCGATGTAGAGCTGAAGCCTTCGAGTCGAGACCACGCTGGGTTCGAAGTAGACTCGTTGTTCCTCGAGCATTTCCCTTGGCTCTTCCTGAGGTGCCTCGGAGGGATCAATATAACTTGGCTAAACATGGGCTTGGATCCTTGCCCTATGTAATAGTTGGTAAGACTTCGACTGTATGCTCGATCATCCTCTTGCCTCTCTCCCCCTTCTCAGACTGCTCTGCTCCTTTCGCCCTTCAGCTCCAAGGACGGGTGCCTCTGATATCTGGTGAAAGAGCTCATGTTGCCGTGGACATCGTCCCCCCCACTTCCGCCCGATTTGTGGCCCCAGAAATGAGCCCTCTCAGACCACGCCTGTGCCCGCCACATGCCCGTGGCCGTGTGGCTCTGGTTCCAGGTGCAGTGCCAGCCCGTGCCCACTCGGTGCTCGCGGCGCCTGCCGGTGGCCGAAGGTGCGCACGCGGGGGCGCGCTTGTGCACGAGAGTGTTGCGAAAGAGGTTCTCATCCTCGAATCTGAGTCCCATCCCCTTCTCCCTCGGCCACGCGCAGAGGGGGGTAGGGGGAGGGGGGAAGGCTTGCTAGAAGCACCCCTGCTTCTTAGAAGCGGCGGGCCTTGTCTGTAGATGTAAGGCCGGCGCCTTTTAAGAAGCAGCCTCCTTCTAAGAAGCCTTCCCCCCTCCCCCCATCCCCTTGTGCGCGCCGCCAACTGACTCTGAGTCCCATTCCGTTTCCCCCTCAGCACTGGCTCTCTCCCTGGAGCCGGCCCTGCGGAGAGGTGCGAGCAGATATCCCTGAGCAGAACTACGGCGGGAACGTGCAGATCTCCTGCGTGCTCCCCAAGGCAGGTTGCCTCACGTCGATGCTCATCGCCTCGCTCGTGTCAGGGATCTTGAATCGGCGGTGTCGATTGCGCACCACTTTTGGAGCAAAGGAGACACGATGCTTACGATGTTCCGTGGGACATACGTGAGAATCCAGGTTGGCCCTTTCGAGTGCTGCAGCATGGGTACGGTTGGGTCCCAATGTTTCCATCGCTGGCGTTCCTCTCCACCTTCCCCTCGCGGTTCCCGTTTCATCGCCTGCTCCCCTCCGTGCGACGTCGGTTGCAGAGTGGTGGCGGCGAAGAGGGTGGCCAGCACGCGCACCACGAGATGGCCCTGGCCCAGAGCCTCTCGCCAACCACTCTCGGAACGGCGCCCGCGGGGGTCCCTCTGGGGGCTTCGGGCGATGCCCCGTGGGCAGGCGCCAGTCCGGGGGCACCTCGGGCGAGGAGGGGTCACCCACGACCCGCAAGGATGGGTGAGCGTGGGCTCGCTTCGGACTGTCTGGGCAGGAGTGTCGACTACACGTAAGAGTGACCTTTCGCCGGAGTGACCTTCGGTGCGGGCTCATCGGGCTCCCCCCGATCGCCGAGCGCGATGCGATTTAAGCGGCCCGCGCCCTTGGGTTTGGCTCCCTCGCGCCCCCAAAAGCTGCGCACCCAAGGTCACTCTTACCCAGGGTCACTCTTACACCTAGCCGAAGGAGGGGGCGGGGGAGGAGCTCCTGTCGGACTGGACCTGTTCCCCAAAGCAGTGCTTGCACTCACATCGGGGTTCCTGCCTGTGGCGTGAAGGCGTCGGATGGCTCCGCCGAGGTTTCGCCGCGTCGTCGCCCGCGGCCGCCTCGTGGCCACCCACTTGAGGGCTCCGCCGACGTTCCGCCGCGTCGCCGCCCGTGGCCGCACAGCTCACACTGCACAGCTCTCACTTCCGCAGTGCAGTGACCCCCTCTCTTCCGGGGCCCACGCTCTTCTGCGCCGCAGCGCGGCGGGGGCAGCCCGCACGCGCGCGCGGGCGAGCCGGGTGACGGCACTGCGAACTGCCGGGATGCAGGGGGGAGGGAGGGGGAAGAGAGGCGATAAGACGTAAGAGTGACCCTTTCGCCGGAGTGACCTTTGGTGCGGGCCCAATAGGGTCCCCCGGATCGCCGAAGTGCGAGGCGGCAGTGCCGTCTTGCGCGCTTGTGTCTGGCCCCCCCCGCGGCCAGACAAAGAGCCGCGCACCAGAGGTCACTCTCACCCAGGGTCGCTCGTGCATCTAGTCGAGAGAGGAGCAGCCGCGGCAGGAGGCGAAGGAGCTGATGCGCTCACGCAGCGGGGTTTGGGGCCCGCGCTGGCTCCTGTCGTGCGGCGCTCCAGCGTTTACGCTCCGCTGTGCGCCGCGCCGTGCTCGGAGGCGACCTGCACGGGCGGAGGATCACCCCGGGGGCAAGGAGCAGCGACGGGAGGGAGGGAGGGGCGGCGGGCGTCTTTGTCGAGACTGGGAGCGAGACGAGGACTGGCATTAAGTCGGGCCTGTCCCTCTACAGGAGGAATATTCAAACATAGTCAAAAAATAGTCGGGGGACGATTTTCAACCATGCTGTGGTGTTGGGTCCTCGTTTTGAAGAGACAGCGCCCCGCGTCCCACTCACCCACTCACTCACTCATTCACTCACTCATTCACTCACTCACTCACTCACTCACTCACTCACTCACTCACTCACTCCTCCTCCTCCTCCTCCTCCTTCTCTTCCTCCTCCTCCCCCTTTTCCCTCCTCCCACTCCTCCCTCCTCCATGCGTTTCACCCACCCAATACAGCGTTTCGTGGCCCCATAGGGAGCTCCACGCAAGGCCCCAGGGGGGGGGTACCACATGCTTCTGCCACACCCAGCACAGCGTTTCGTGGCCCCACAGGGAGCTCTACCACATGCGTCCGCCACACCCAGTGCAGCGTTTCGTGGCCCCATAGGGAGCGCAACCGAAGGCCCCAGGGGGGGCGTACCACATGCGTCTGCCACACCTGGTACAGCGTTTCGTGGCCCCACAGGGAGCTCCACCGAAGGCCTCAGGGGGGGGGGTACCACATGCGTTTGCCACACCCAGTGCAGCGTTCCGTGGCCCCATAGGGAGCTCCACCGAAGGCCCCAGAAGGAGTGGGATGCCACATGCGTTTGCCCCCCCCATTGCAGCGCTTCGTGGCCACATAGGGAGCTCCACGTAAGGCCCCAGGGGGGGGGGGTACCGCATGCGTCTGCCACACCCAGCACAGCGTTTCGTGGCCCCACAGGGAGCTCCACCGAAGGCCCCAGTGGGGGATGGAGACATACGTCCGCCACACCCAGCGCAGCGTTTCGTGGCCCCATACGGAGCTCCATCGGAGGCTTCAATATGGGTGGCCACATGCGTCCGTCACACCCAGTGCAGCGCTTCGTGGCCAGAGGGACCGTCCGCATGAGTCCCGCACACCGCATTTGGCATTTTCACACCCAGTGCAGCATTGCGTGGCCCCATAGGGAGGTCCACCGAAGCCCCCAGGGGGACCGCCCGGCTGCGTCCCGCACGCGCGATTTGAAATCTTCACACACCCAGTACAGCGTTTCGTGGCCCCATAATGGAGATCCACCGGAGCCCCGACTGGGACCGCCCAGGTGCGTCCCACACATTCAATTTGGCAGTTTCACCCACCCAGAAAAAGCGTTTCGTGGCCCCACAGGGAGCTCCACGTAAGGCCCCAGGGGGACCGTCCGCATGCGTCCCGCACGCACAGTTTGGCATTTTCGCCCACCCAGTATGGCGTTTCGTGGCACCATAGGGAGCTCCACGTAAGGCTCCCAGTGCGTCCCGGAAACCCAATTTGGCATTTCACCCACCGAGTACAGCGTTTTTCATGGCCCCATAGGGAGCTCCACCGAAGCCCCCAGTGTGACCGTCCGCATGCGTCCCGGAAGCCTAATTTGGCATTTTCACCCACCCAGTACAGCGTCTCGGGGTCCCATAGGGAGCTCCACCGAAGCCCCCAGTTGGACCGTCCGCATGCGTCCCACACCCAATTTGGCATTTTCGCACACCCGGCATAGCGTCTCGTGGCCCCATAGGGAGCTCCACCGACGGCCTCAGTGCTACCGCCCGCATGCGTTTCCCCCCACCCATTGCAGCGCTTCGTGGCCACATAGGGGGCTACACCGAAGAAAATATTCACAATTGCGGTACCCACAACTGCATATGGTTGGGTCCTTCGCCAGGATAATTTTTGAGTATTTTTAATTTTTCGCCCCAAATCCCCCTGTAGGGGGACAGGCCCGACCTAAGATTAGCAGCAGCAGGACTGACGGCGGCAGGAGGAACGCAGAGTCTGTCTTTCGTCTCCTCCCCTCCTGGCTGCCTGGCCTGCCCGGTGGCGCAAGACCACTGCCTCCGTGTCCAACGAGCTGGGCACCACCACGGGGCAGTCCGCCGAGTGACCCTCCCAGCCTCTCGGTTAGCTCATTCGCTGAGCAGCGGATGTTGTAAGTGCTCTCTGTTCAAGTTCGCTGTTGCGCAGCCGACATTCGCGCTCATGGAAGTTGCTTATCTGCGCTGCAGCCCAGCGTGTCCTGGCCTCGCATGGTGAGTGTTGTTGTATTAACTGATTCGCCAGTCGGCGTGGGCCCTCGACCCCCTCCCCTCCCCCCCCAGACCAGATCGTGGTGGACTTGGGCGCTTGCTTCTACCAGGTGGAGAATGCACTGGGGGCACTGGGGGCCAGCAGTCCTGCTGCACAGCCCTTGCACAGTCCCTGCACGCAGCACCAGCGAAGGACTGGCCAGGAGCCTGACCCCCCTAAGCCGGTCCCCCCCCGCAGCATACATTGCCGACCGTATCGTCTAAGCACCGACCCAGAGCCAGCGAACCCAGGAATAGCGCACTAACATCGCTTACACCCGTTGCTGAACTTGCACTCAGGGCATTCGGGGCCTCGTGAATGTCGAGGGAGTCGTGGGCCCTCGGGACCGTCTTCTGGAGGGTCCTGGGCTGGAGCCGTCTCCGGGGGGCCCTGGGGCCCGCATGGAAGTCCTGGCCTCGGTGTCGCCCGTGGCCAGTCCCGGGGCCACCTCGGGGTTTTCTGGGGCCAGTCCCCGGCCGTCCCTTGGGGGTCGGTCGGCGGGCGTCCTGGGGGCCTCGGGGGGGGGGGCAGCCCGGCCTCCTCCCGCGGCTAGGCCCGCGGCCCTGCGAGCGACGCCGCCCCGCCGCGGCGTCCGGGGCGGCCGCGGCCAGCGAGCCTCCGGGCCCCTCCCGTGGGGCTTCTGCTGTCCCGACCTGCTTGAGAGCCTTGATCGCCATTCAGAGTTTCGAGCACCAGGAAAGTACCCGAACTGGAGAGGACTTCCACGCGCCAGGGCCTGGGAGGCGGTACTCGTCCCTGGCCACCTGCTGCCGCGCCTCCCGGCCTCGCGCCCCCCACGACGGGGCGGCTCCATGTGCCGTTTTCGTCATTCTCGGCCTGCTCCTTTTTCTCCCCAGTGTGCCTCGCACGCCTCGCATGCCTGCCGTCTTCGGCTGCACCTACGGTCATCCCGCACAGTAAGGATGGGCAATCTTCCCAAGGCTACCCTTGCATACTTGCCTCCTCGGTCCATCCCTGGCCACCTTCGTTGGCCGCGCCCCGCTCGAAAAGCTTCGAAATGGGCGTCCAAGGCCCTTGCATCCTTATCGCGCTTCCTTATGATACGGGCCGAGCATACGGGCTCACGCCGTCCTGGTCCACTTTTCATGCACACTCCCGCATTGTGCGCCGCAGCGGCGTGCCCCCTCCCTGCCATCCACGCCCAGATGTGCCGTATGGCGCCCCTCGGTCTTCTCATGCTTAGCCACGTCGGGCAGGTCCCTTTTGGTTGGTGTGTCACGTCACTGCCATCCACGCCTGGATGTGCTGTGGCGGTGGGTGCAGCGGGATCCGAAGCGATTCCTTAGGGCCCGCGGCTCCGCGTTCCGTGCTTTCTTTGTGTCCGCCTCGTCGCTGCGCGCGGGGCCGCTACCGCCAATCAAGTGTGTGTGTGTGTATATATGTTTATGTATAAGTATTTGTATATGTGTATATCTATATATATATATACCTTTATACGTATGTGTACTTGGACAGTAACGTGTATCTGTATGTGTGCACGTATTTGAACACACATATATGCACACGTGTATATGCATGTGCATGTATACGTATTCGTAGATGTTTATGTACATGTGTACATGTAGGTTCATATGTATCCGTATATGTAGTTGTATACGTGTTTGTATATGAATATGTATATACTTATATGCACGCATATATTTAATTTCATGTCTATATGTGTGTACATGTACGCATGCATGCAGGCGTACACATTTATATATATATATATATATATATATGCGTGTGTGTTTGTGTGTGTGTGTGTGTGTGTGTGTGTGTGTGTGTGTGTGTTTGGGTATTTATATGTGTATGGTGGTACCTATATGCTTGCATGCATAGATGTATTTGTGTATATTTGTATGCATATATAAGTATGTATACTTATGCATGTTTGCATACATCTATCTATCTATTTACATGTACATGTATATGTATATGAATAGGTACAGGTACTTGTATATGTGTATATACATGTCTATGTATATGTGCATTCATATGTCGATGTATTTGTATATGTATATGCATATGTATGTGTAAGCTTGTACGTACGCGCGCATGTATATGTAGGTATGTCTGCATATACGTATTTGAGCATCGTATGTATATTCACATGGCTATGCATCGGCATATGTATATACATATATATATATATGTATGCATGCATGCATGCATGCATGCATGCACATATGTTTATAGACATGCATTCATGCATGTATGCATGCAATATTGTATGTATGTCAGTAGATGAGTATGTATGTCGGTATGATTGTATGTTTGTGCAAGTGTCTGTATATATATATATATGTATGTATATATTTATACATGCATGCATGCATGTATGTATGTAGGTAGGTATGGTTGTGCGCATACACATGTATGTATACGCATGTTTACGTACATATGTGTTTGTGTCGCGTTCGCCTTGCCCGCCCCACCCGTTGATGGCGACCCAGCGGAGGAGGCAGCCCAGCTGGATCTCATCGACCGCCTCGGTGCCATGCAGGCCGTAGGGGCTCCTTTGGAACTCCAGGCCCATTTCCGGTGGCGTGATTGGGTCCACGAGTACGGCCCGGTCCAGTGAGGGGGCGCCAACAGGACCCCATCTCTACACGGCTGAGCAGCTCAGCAGCTTCCTCCTCAGCGTTCCCGCCTCTTGGCTGCCCGCTGCTGCGCGCGCGGTGCCGACCGAGGAGGCGAACTCACGGAAGCGAGGCGCCTCTCGCGACCCTTCTCGGCCCGGTTGCCCCCGTCCGCGCCCCTCCGCGCGCTAGGGTCTGCGCCTGCGCCCCGGGCCGGCCCACCCCCTCTCCAGTGGCCGCGCTTTTCCCCGCGTGCCGCACCCTGGGACTCCCGGGAGGCCCCGCGACAGGGCTGCGCGGCTCGGCGGCCAGACCGCCAGGGACCAGCGACGAGCCCGCGCAGGAAGGAGCCCGCCGCCGCCCCCTCTCCTCGGCCACGCGCGGCGGGGGGCAGGGCGAGGGGGGAAGGCTTCTCAAAAGCACCCCTGCTTCTCAGAAGCGGCGGGCCTTGTCTGTAGATGGAAGGCCTGCGCCTTCTGCGAAGCAGCCTCCTTCTGAGAGGCCTTCCCCCCTCCCCCTGCCCCCCTGTGCGCGCCGCCAAGCCTCTCGGTCTGGTGGAACGAGCTCCTCCCCAGCGCGCGGGCGGGAGTCCGAGGGTGACCCGACGCTGGCTCCCCCCCCCGACCTGGTCGACGCGGCGCGCGGCCCTCGGACCTTCCCCTCGTGGCCCTGGCCTTCGACCCCTTCGGGCACGCTCCCCTGTGCCTGGCCGGGCGCTGTCGGGTCTCAGGAGGGCACAAACACACGGACACAAGTCATCGTCGATCCCCAGGAGGACATGGGAAGCTGTGGGAAGTGTGGGGATGGGGGGGAAGACGATCACCCAGAATCTCGGGAAGATGCGGGGAAATAGGGGGAATATTGGAATTCGTGTGTATCTATTTGTGTGTGTGATGTGTTCAAGGTCGCCCAGTTCTCCGACCTCCGCGGCGGCGCCGCGCCGCCCCGCCCAACACCTCTTGGCCCTCCCCGCGCTCTTCCTTGGGGGCCTCGCTGTCGCTCCCCCTCCCCTCGCCTCTCTGCGCTCTCCTTTGGGGGCCTCGCTGCCGCCACCCCTCCCCTCGCCCCGACACCGGGTCCGTCGGTTTTCCCTCCTCCCGCGGGCCCAACAGGCGGCTCGATCTGTGTGGGTGCGCGCTATTATTCGCGGCAGGCGCGCACATATAAACATGATGTTTCGGCGAACGTTTGCAAACTGCCACCCCTGGGCTCCTGGCCGCGCAGCGCCGCTGCGCTCCCCTGTCCATGGAAGAAAAGGCAGCGCTATAAGCAGAAACTTTTTTGCGCTCCGCGCGGATTTCTTGGATCCGCGCTGGGCCCCCCTGGCGGCGCCTCCGGCGCCGCCCCTGGCGCGCTGCGCGCGCCAGGGAGGGGGGTCCAGCGCAGAGCCAAACAATTCGCGCGGACAGTCGAACATTTATGCTTATGTCGTTTTTTCTTCCTCGACTGTCCGCTGCTGCTGTCTGTTATTGGCACGCCTTCCTTGCCGTCTCGTCTGGCCGTCTGGTCGCACTGCGCACCCACTCGCCAGCCTCTCGGCCTGCCTCGTCCTGCACCCTGCCGCCCTCGCTGCCCACGCCTGGGCATGCGCATGACATGGCTGATCCCGCTGCGGGTCCCCGCCCCGTCTTCTGAGGGGCCGGCCGCACGCGCGTTCCTATCATTTGGGGACTTTCTCCGCCTCGTCGCTGCGCGCGAGGCCGCGATGGCCAAAAGTGTGTGTGTGTGTGTTTCTGTTTTTACTGGCTCCGCATGACATGACCGCCGCCTCGATGGACGGCGACCTGGGGCCACGGCCAGCTGCCCTGCTACCCGCCTTCCGTGCTGGTTCCGAGCACCAGTTGCCCGCCCTGGTCTCCACTCGTCCGTGGCTCTGCTGGTTGGGCGCGCCACTGCGCCCCCGCCCCCTGCTGCGCCGCTTCGCCACTGGCAGGCTGCTGGCTGGAGCAGCTCTTTCCCAACTCTGTCTGCGCCAGCATCAGCATGCAGCACTGCCCGCCTCCCGCCATCCAACCTTCGACCGCCTCCGCTGCACATTGCCGCCTGTGGTCACCGCTAGCTTGCATTGGCCCCGCGCTGGATTGGGACGACTTCGAAGTGGCCTTTCGCGTCTGCCTCCCGTGCTGTATCTCCTCTTCTCCGTGCACTGCAGCTCCTGCTTCTGCCCCAGGGTGTCGCCGCGACGCCGCCCCGCGTCCACTGCCAGGTGGTGCAGCACTGGCTGGCCGTCCCGGCCGCTCCGCGGTGACGCACCTCGCCATGTGATTGCCCCTCCTCCCTTCCTCCCGCTCCGCGGCCGCTTTCGCCCGTCCCCCTCCCCTCCCGCCGCCGGTCAAGTTTCTTTTCCCGTCTCCCGGGCCGCCTGCGCGCGCGTGCGGGCTGCCTCCTGCCGCGCTGCGACGTGCAAGGGTGTGCTGCTGTGTGCGCTTCTCGCGCCCCCGGGCCGACGGCCCACGCCCGCGAGGTACATCTCCTCGGAGCACAAGCTCGTCTGGAACATCAAAAAGTTCGCCGGTGGCTCGGAGGCCGGCCCCCCGGCCGCGCGGGCTCGCGCCGGGGCGGCCCCGCGGAGCACTTCGCCGCACCGTCCTCGTCCCCCCCAGATTGGTCGGAGGCGGCGATGAAGGGTGAGTGGCCCAGGGGAGGGCCTTGCACGTATTCGCCCGGGATCTTCGCCGAAGGCGTGGACCATCGGCGCCCCTGGATGCGTGTGTCGCTCTCCCCGACGCTGTTCGCCCCCGTCGTCGCCCCCGATACTCGTCCCCCCCTGCTTGGCCGCGCGGGGCGGGGGGATCGGGAAAGGAGGGGTTGCGAAGTCTGCTGCGTGCAGCTGGTTTCGGCCCCGCCGCCAGGCACCTTCGCACATCGGCGCCTCCAGCGCGGGGAGGCGCTTGGAAAGTCAGATGTCGCGTGAGCTCTTTCGCCAAGCCCTCCTCTTCTATCCGCCCCTTTCGTCCGATCCGAGACCTCCCAGCGTCTCGAACAGAGGATGCGCTGGCATCTGTCCGCATTCGGCGTCCAGAGGCCCTTTCGGGGGCACCAGAGCCGTCAGAAAGCCGCACCTCGCTTGTACGGCCATGCGCCGGATGCATTTACTGTTCGCTTGACATCGGTTGTTGGGTGCGCTCGGCTTCAGAAAGCGTCTACCAGCGTGCAGTTCCGAATAGGCACGAGGGCAAAGTGAGTTACGCTATCAATATCAAACGGACAGTATCAACCAAGCAATCAATCATGTAGTCAAGCGAACGTTTGATTGAACAACCCATCAATACATCATACAGGTAACAAGGCATGCACGCAAGCAGTGAAATACGCATGCAATAACCAGACAAACAATCAGGCATGCAAGCCAGCATTGATGAACCCACGCAAGGGATCACGCAAGCAATCAACAAAGTATGCATACAAGCAGGCACGCACGCAAGACAACCAATATTTTTCCAGCAAGCAAGCATGCAGGCCAGCAAGCTTGGAAGCAAGCAAGCAGTCGCCGAAGCAGATGGGCAAACGGACAGTCAATGAAGCGAACAAGCAAGCAAACAAGCAGACAAACGCAAACGATCATGCGCGCAGGCACGACAGGAAACACGCATACAATCAATCTAACGGCAGTTGAAATGCGAAGGGAGCGAGCGATGAAGGAAGCAACGAGCTAAATACGTCAGCATGTGAACTATCATCTAAACAGTCAAGCGCACCTGCTTACAATCCTGCAGGGTTGCAATGACGTAAGAATGGATGCAAGCAACCAGCCGCAATCATGCATGCATGCAACGAGCAAGCTAGCAAGCAGTCAAACAGGCAAGAACGCACAAAAGAACACGCAACAGCAGCCAACAGGCAAGAACGCACCAAATAGCGAGCAATATCCAGCTTCCCGCGTCAAGTCCCGCCGCCGAGCCAGTCCAGCATTTTGGGTAGCGTTTGTTCGAGGGAGCACGGGAGGCCGTCACATGAAACACCTCGTGTCTCCAGGCTTGGGATAGCCTGGATTATAATGTGATGATGATGACAGTAATGCTGACGACGAGACTGCTGCTGATGATGATGATGATGCTAATGATGATGGTTGTGCTCATGATGACGACGATGAAGATAATGATGATGATGCTGATGACGATGAAGACGATTACGGTGACTATGACGATGCCTACAGCGATGCTGATGATGCTGATGATGTTGACGATGCTGATGAGGATGATGCGGCTGATTACGATGCTGATGCTCATGCGAATTCAGCTGCTGGTGATGATGATAACGATGCTGATGCTGATGCTGATGATGATGTTGACGATGCTGATGATGATGACGATGATGGTGGTGGTGATGATGATGATTGCGATGATGGTGGCGATGATGATGATGCTGATGCTGATGCTGATGCTGCAGATGATGATGGTGATGATGATGGCGATGATGGCGATGATGATGTTGAGGAGGATGAGGATGATGATGATTCTGATGATGATGACGATGATGATGACGACGCCGACAATGATAACGATGCTGATGATGATGACGATGATGCTTATGCTGATATTGCTGCTGCTGATGATGATGATGACGTTGATGATGGTGATGATGCTGCTAATGATGATGATGCTGCTGATGCGGCTGGTGGTGATGCTGATGATGACGAGGATGATGGTGAAAATTCTGCTGCTGCTGACGATGATGATGGTGATGCTGATGCTGATGGTGGTGCTGCTGCCGATGATGATGATGATGATGACGATGATGATGATGATGATGATGATGATGATGATGATGATGATGATGATGATGATGATCAGGACGTCGATAATGCTGATGCCGCTGCTGGTGACGATGATGACGATGATGAAGATGATGAAGGTAATGGTGGTCATGATGATGATAATGATGATGATTACGATGCTGATGATGATGATGATGATGCTGATGCTGATGCTGATGCTGATGATGCTGATGATGATACTGATGATGATGGTGATGATGATGACGATGACGATGATGATGGTACCGGTGATGTTGATGGCGGTGATGATGATGGTGATATGATGGTGATGGTGAGGGTGATTCTGAGGGTGATGGTGATGATCAAGTTAATGATGCTGATGATGATGATGATGATGATTGATGGTGATGCTGATGATTCTGATGATGATGATGATCATGAGTATGAAGGTGTTATTGCTGACGACGATGCTACTGATGATGATGATGATGATGATGATGATGATGATGACGTTGATGATGGTCCTGATGCTGCTGCTGATGATGATGATGATGATGATGCTGCTGCTGCTGATATATGTGATGAGGATGAGGATGATGATGATGATGATTGACTGTGATGATTATTGGTGATGTTTCAGTGCAGTGGTGATGATGATGAGGATTATGATGTTGCTAGTGATGATGATGATGATGATGTTGATGATGATGATGATGCTTCTGATGCTGCTGGTGGCGATGCTGATGATGATGACGAGGATCATGATGATAATGGTGGTGGTGATGATGTTCATGATGATGATTATGATGATGATGATGATGATGGTGGTGATGATGATGGGCCATGATGATGCTGCTGCTGATGATGATGATGATCATGATGATGATGATGATGGTGATGATGATGATGATGATGATGATGCTGATGCTGCTGCTGCTGCTGATGATGATGATGATGATGATGATGATGATGACGATGACGATTATTATAATGATGATGATGATGATGATGATGATGATGATGATGATGATGATGATGATGATGATGATGATGATGATGATGATGATGATGATGATGATGATGATGCGGAGGAGGAGGAGGAGGAGGAGGAGGAGGAGGAGGAGGAGGAGGAGGAGGAGCAGAAACACCCGCAGCAGGTGGAGGAGGAAAAGGAGGATAATGACGAGGAAGGCCATGGCACTGTACTTCCTGTCTTCATTTTTTTTTTTGAGTTCGCATGGGTTTCGTTTGGGCCGTCTTGCGGCATTTGGTCTCCTGTGAGGCAGTCTTGGGGGTCCCTTGGGGCCCTGTTGGGTCGCCTTTGGGCCCTGTGAGGCCGTCTTGGCAGTAAGGTGGGTGCCTGGTGGCCGTCGTGGGGCCGTCTTGGTGCCTGATTGTCATCGAGAACAACATGGCCCCGAACCATAATAGCACAATGATCACTGAGGTCCTCGTCTTCGCATTAGGGATAAAAAAAAAACTGGTCGGTTTGGCCTGGCATATCTGCAGAAAAGACTCCTATCCCTCATGCTTTCGCCCTCTGAATGTAGGTCCCCTCCCACAGGGCTAGTGGTATTTTTATTGCCTATCATTTTGGGCAGTCGAAGGGCATTCCAAGGCATCTTGGGTCTCACGGGGGACCCTCTTGGGCAGCTTGGGGCCGTTTTGGGTGCCCCTTGGGGCCCTCGTGGGGTCTTCTTGGGCCATCTTTGGACACTCGTGGGGGCCTCTTTGGCTGTCTTAGGGCCGTGGCGGCTTCTTGGGCCGTATCGAGCTGACAGACGCCCGAGAAGGCGAGAGTGCAAACATCATTCAAACACTCGAGTCACATGATTGACTTTGGCTTCTTCGGGCCCTGTTGGAGGTCTCGGGGCCCTTTTGGGCCATCTTTGGGGCACCTTGGGCCGTCTTCAGGTCATGTTTGGACGCCTTGGGGCCACCTTTATTTCCGTCTTCGAGGCATCTCGGGCCATCTTGGCCGCTTTGATTGCCTGCTTGGGCCGTCTTGGAAACTCGGGACGTGGACACATAAGATTTTCGTTACGAGGGATCGTCACCTCGGAAAGAGCGTGTTCTACCGCTGCTGGTGGAAAACCGGGGGGGGTCACTACGGGTTCGCACCCCCCCCCCTCCCTCCCCCCCAGTCCATCAGCCGCCGTCCCGGCCCGAGGCTTTTGGGTGCAGGTATCCAGGATACCTGCGAGCCTCGCGGGACTCGGCGGCCATACGCGCTCGCCCGCGCCCTCGCTGGTGGCGTGCGGGCTGGCCGTGCTGCTGTGCTGCGGTGTGCGCCGCCCCCAGAGTGGGCGGCCGCACGACGGCGCGGGCGCCCGCTTCGAGCAGGGCGCGGCGCCGGCTGCGCGTGCGCGAGCCCGCCTGGCACAGGCGCGCTCGCGAGCGGCGCACGCAGTCGCGCACCTTGCTGCGCGTCGCCGCTGCCGCTGCGAGGCTGCGTGCGCACCACAGCAACGGGCTGATGTCAGGCCGAGCCGGAGGCGGGGGCAAAGGCGGCCAGGGCCGCAAGGGCAGCGGCAAGGGCAGTTCGGGCGGAGGCCACAGCGGGCAGAGTGGCAGCACTCCGCCGTGGGCCGTGCCGCCGCCGCCGCCTGGATGGTGGTGCCCGTCGTGCGGAGGACTCAACGGCCCTGCTGACGCCCTGTGCCGCACCTGCTTCCCTCTTCCCGAGCATGGTCCCATGCATGGAGACGGAGGAGGGACAGCGCGCCCGCGCGCGGGCCCGCGCGGTGACGGCCGCCAGCCTCGTTCTCCCTCGAGGCGTCGGCGCCGCGGCGGCAAGGGCGAGGCACG